CCCCTCCCTCCCCTCGCTCCCGTCGGCCCTCTCTCTCCTTCTCTAACTTAACTCATCTTTCTCCCTCTCTCTCTCTTTCTTTTTCTTTTCTCTCTCTTTCTCTCTTTCTCTTTCTTCTCTCTCATCTCTCTCTCTCTCTCTCTCTCTCTCTCTCTCTCTCTCTCTCTCTCTCTCTCTCTCTCTCTCTCTCTCTCTCTCTCTCTCTCTCTCTCTCTCTCTCTCTCTCTGGCGCCCGCTCGTATCCTCTGCTCTTGCTGTGTCCTTCTCACCCTCCTTCTCTTTCGTTTTCGTTTCTTCTTCCACCTCCTCCTCGTCTTTTGCCTCCGTTCGTACCCTATGCCTCTCTCACCCTCTCTTTTCTCTTTTCTCCTCTATCTAGTTCGTTTTTCTTCTCGTTCTTTTCATTTCATTTTATTCTTATTCTTCTTCTATTTTACCTTCTTTTTCTTTCCCCTCCTCCTCTTCCTTCTTCTATTTCTCCATCTCGTTCTCCTTCTTCTCTTCCTCCTCCCTGTTCACTTTCTATTCCTCTTTCATCTTTTTTATCATCATTTTCTTCTCCTCCTTCCTTTTCGACCTCTCTCCCTCACGCTTCTTTCCATCCACCTCTCAAAGGATCCCTCGCGCTTCTGCCCCACTCGTCCCGCTCCTCCACTCACCCTCCATCCCCTCGTGCTATTCAACGGCGCCTCCTCCTGCAGGTACGAGACCCACGGCGGCGAGGACGTGCCCGTGTACGCCTACGGGCCGGGGGCGCACCTGTTCTCGGGCACGATCGAGCAGACGTACATCGCGCACGCCATCGCCCACGCCGCCTGCATCGCCGAGGACAACAGTCACTGCGAGAAGCCGCCCAGCGACGACGCCTGCGCCGCCGCCCCTGGCCCGGCGCCCTCGCCCACGGCGCGCCGCCCGCTCGGCCAGACCACGCCCACCGTCGAGGTCCAGAAGCAGGATCCCCGAGATCCGTGGGCGTGGAGCGCTGGCTCGCGGGCGTGGATGTGGACGACGTATCACGCCCTCACGCTGGCGATGGTGCCCGTGGTGCTGGCGCTGCGCTGAGACTCCTCGCCTTGTCATACGAGTCTGCGTCGCCGCCCACCTCCCTCTCCCTCTCTCCCCCTCCCCCAGGGGAAGGGAGTCTATCTAGAGACAGAACGCCCACGCCCCCCGAGCCGAGGCTAAACGGGGGCGCCACATTTTGTTAGATTGTCTTAGGAAGAAATAAAAAAAAATAAACATTGCAACAGATTTCTGAGCTTGAAAGCTTCATAACAACACAGTAACAAGCTGTAGTGTAATATATCTATGTATCTAAGATAAAATTAAATAAATTAATTGCATAAACGAAGAAAAAAATATATATATAACTGAAAAAAAGAGAAAAGCAGAATGTCAAGGTATCTTTATACGGGCCAGTGAGACTAAGGGGAAAGGAAGAAACGAAAGACAAAGATTGGTTTTTGAACGTTAGGCTTTAGAGTGCAAGTAACTACCTCTCTGTACGGAGACTGCCGGTGGACTAGTTGTTTCAGCGTTTGACAATCAGAGAAGTACGACGTCAAGGCAGGAAGAGACGGGAGTGCGAACAGTGGATTTTTTTGTTTACATTTTTCGTGTTTCAACGTGTCAGGATCGATGTATCATGAGGGATTGCACTGACCCATTTTTCAGAGACATATACATCTCTTCTTGCAGCAACGTGCAATGAGATGGCGAGACAAACGCACACTTTTTTATTTTATTTTTAAGTCATCCTTCACTCCTGGGAAGTCCTCTACACCCACAGGAGGAGAGAGGGTCTTCGATGTTGAAAAGATCTTATAGCGAGTGAAAACAGGAGCTCCTCTGAAGGTCGGTTTGTTAATGACTACGTGTTTCCGAAACCGTATAAAAACAATTAAAAAAAAAAGATAGAGAGAAGATAATAAACAAATGGAAAGGGAAGATAAAAGGAAAATATTTATTTCGAGACCGGAACGTGGAGCTCCGACTTTTTTTTTTCTCTCGATTTTTTCTAATATACGCATTTGTCTCTTTTTGATTCAGGTAAAGTTGGTATCTTTTAGTTTTGGTGTATTTGCGTCATAGGACTTCAGTATCAAGTTTCTAATTATACTTTGCTGTCACCTGAACTTGATGTCTATTTTCAAGTTCGGGATGATCACCACTCGATCATAAACTATTTGTCCATGTATAGCCATGTCGTAGTTTAGCTTCACTCATGTTTTATACAAGCACAGACGCGTTCAAACGAGAACCTACTGTCAACGATTGTCACAGCTGATGATGATGACTTTCTCAACAGCTGAGGATGAAGAGCATCAGGTACTAAACAAAACAAACAAATTGCTAAACATATAGACAAACATTGTTGTAGTTTTTTTGTTTTTTGTTCCGACTGCAGTTTTTGGTTTTATGTTTCTGTATAAATTCCATAAGAAAAGAGGAATCTTAGTCACGAAAGATGACATACCACTATGTTAAGTCGTATCGTCAT